ATCTCATCTTGATGTGTTCGCGCGTCGGAAGATTTCCCACTTGGATTTTTCTCCCTAGAATTCTCGTCAACCACGATATCTTTCATCACCTCAACCGCGTTTTTCCCGCTAGATGGTTCTTTCATAGACTTTAATAAAATTTTTCTGGTGATTCTAATGTTATCTGCGTCGTCTCGATCACCTTTATCGATGGGGCCCTCAGATTCTTGACATTTTTTTCCCGCGAATCTCCCTACAATATTTTCATTTTTCGCTTCCTTGTCATTCGTCGATTCCCCGTCCCCGCTCATATTTGACACGCTTTCGCTGTCCTCTATAGTCACCATATACGAATACTTTTTCTTCAATGATCGTTTATTTAGAACTTTCGTCTCGGTCATGGTTCACTTTTTTTAAAAATCTTTTTCTAAGTAAAAGCTGTACTTAAATATTGATAAAAATATATAAATATTATTTGGAAATCATTAAAAAATTTAAAAAAACATAAAAAGAGAAGAAAAAAAATATTAATTTAAAATTGTATTTTTTTTAACAATCAATAAAAAAAAATTAAAATAATTTGTCGAAAAAATTTATGTTCAATCTTTCTTCTCTTCTCTTCTCTTCTCTTCTCTTCTCTTCTCTTCTCTCTCTCTTCTCTTCTCTTCTCTTCTATTCTCTTTCTTAGGGCGTCGCTGCGCTCTTCGTTTTTCTTTTTGGAATTAGAATTTGAAAATATATGTTCCGAATAGAGAATTGTTTGATATAAAATATAGGAATGAAATCAGTGTTGTGAGCGATACAAGTAACTAGTTACTTTTTTAGCAGTAACGGTTGTGCGCGCTACTATTTTAAAAAGATAAATAGCTGTAGCGGTAGCTGTAGCGGTAGCTGTAGCGGTAGCTGTAGCGGTAGCTGTAGCGGTAGCTGTAGCGGTAGCTGTAGCGGTAGCTGTAGCGGTAGCTGTAGCGGTAGCTGTAGCGGTAGCTGTAGCGGTAGCTGTAGCGGTAGCTGTAGCGGTAGCTGTAGCGGTAGCTGTAGCGGTAGCTGTAGCGGTAGCTGTAGCGGTAGCTGTAGCGGTAGCTGTAGCGGTAGCTGTAGCGGTAGCTGTAGCGGTAGCTGTAGCGGTAGCTGTAGCGGTAGCTGTAGCGGTAGCTGTAGCGGTAGCTGTAGCGGTAGCTGTAGCGGTAGCGGTAGCTGTAGCGGTAGCGGTAGCTGTAGCGGTAGCTGTAGCGGTAGCTGTAGCTGTAACGGTAGCTGTAGCGGTAGCGGTAGCTGTAGCGGTAGCTGTAGCGGTAGCTGTAGCTGTAGCGGTAGCTGTAGCGGTAGCTGTAGCTGTAGCTGTAGCGGTAGCTGTAGCGGTAGCTGTAGCGGTAGCTGTAGCGATAGCTGTAGCGGTAGCTGTAGCGATAGCTGTAGCGGTAGCTGTAGCGATAGCTGTAGCGGTAGCTGTAGCGATAGCTGTAGCGGTAGCTGTAGCGGTAGCTGTAGCGATAGCTGTAGCGGTAGCTGTAGCGATAGCTGTAGCGGTAGCTGTAGCGATAGCTGTAGCGGTAGCTGTAGCGATAGCTGTAGCGGTAGCTGTAGCGATAGCTGTAGCGGTAGCTGTAGCGATAGCTGTAGCGGTAGCTGTAGCGATAGCTGTAGCGGTAGCTGTAGCGATAGCTGTAGCGGTAGCTGTAGCGATAGCTGTAGCGGTAGCTGTAGCGATAGCTGTAGCGGTAGCTGTAGCGATAGCTGTAGCGGTAGCTGTAGCGATAGCTGTAGCGGTAGCTGTAGCGATAGCTGTAGCGGTAGCTGTAGCAATAGCTGTAGCAATAGCTGTAGCAATAGCTGTAGCAATAGCTGTAGCGGTAGCTGTAGCGGTAGCTGTAGCGGTAGCTGTAGCGGTAGCTGTAGCGATAGCGGTAGCTCGCTACTAAGTAACCCGCTACTTCGCTACTTTCAATTTTATGTATAATAAATAAACATAAATATTTATTAAATCATAGTCTTATTATTTAATTTAATAATTTTGAAATTATTTAAAATTTAAAAAAAAATATGCTTTATTATAAATCTAGTTTTCATTTTAAAATGTCGGAAAATAGAGATTGATATTGAAATCTTATCTTAGCACAAATTATATCGACTCTCATGGAAAATGAAGATAATATGGAAAATTCGCAATATATTCTAATCCCGATGAAAAAATAAAGATAGGATATAAATTTTCGTTGTAAGATAAACATGGTAGTTTCAACTTGGAAATACATTTAAGAGGTAATATATCAAACAAATATAATATCAATGTGAAGCCCAAATCCTTTATCTTTAACATTCAAAATTTGAATCAAAGCTATCTACAATAATTTTTTAAGCTAGATGAATTTTTGTGTTGGTTAATTTTTCTGGTCAGGCTCCAGACATGGTATGTTTCAACTGGCCATATAAGATATTATTCAAGAATTATATTATATAAATTAAAAATTGAAATAAATAATTAATATTAATATCTCATTTTATCATCAGACTCATCTAATTAATGACACTATTTTACAAACTATTATCTGGATGTTAAACAGCACTCAACTATTTATATATTTAAAAATTTTATCTAAACATGCTAAATACCTATTTCACTTCATTCACCATTTTAACCAATTTTGATAGAAATTAGTTCAATAAGATAAAAAGTTAAAAGATGGTGGCCTGGGCAGTTGGCAAACATGGCCATCCACTTATCCCCTAAATAATTTTTATTCTAACTATTACTAGTATAAATTTAGATTGACCCTAGCCAGAGCTGAAAGGCCACCTATAGATAATTTTTCTTATGTAAAAAATTTGTGTATTGAATTTAATACTATATTACCCTCAAGTGCGTGTTATACGATTATTTAGCCATAAATATACTTTCGGATCGTCACTCTAGACTTGGGGATATGGAATTGTTATTATTATTTGATAATGCAAATAAAAAAATTATTAAATTAATGTAACTATTTACAAATTTTAGCCATATTTTTTATGTGGGAATAAAGATTCGTAAAAAAATATTTCTAAAGTTAAGTAAAAAGTAACTTTAGCGACTAATTTTTTATTTAAAGTATCTTATAGCGAGCTACATTTTTGAAAAAAAAAAATCATGACAAAATTCAAAATTATAAGAATATCTAAAAAAATCTTTTAAATAATTTTTTTTTGTTTTCCGGAAAGAATTTTTTGTGCATAATAAACACAAAATATTTTTTTTTTTACAAAAAACTTTGGGAATTTTAGGTAAAATTTGTTCACGCATCCTGTGTGGGGCATGCTAAAAATAAAAATTCTATTTTTTAAAATAATCCTTCATTTACGAGAATTCTTCCACCATCTAAATCTTTGATAATTTTTCTACTTTTGATCAAATTTTACTGAAATCTCGGGGCTTTGTTTTTTTTGCCTAAAATAAGAAAGAAAGAAAGAAAGAAAGAAAGAAAGAAAGAAAGAAAGAGAAAGAAAAGAAATTTTGGAAATTTCAGATCTGTCATCTACGAGCAAAAATCTCTAGATGTTGCGTAAAATTTTGTAGCTAAATTATCGAGCTAGCCATTTTTATAGAAATCGAGACTTTTAACAACACTTTTCTTAATGCAAGAATAATAATATATTCATACTTATTTTCTTTATATTTTTTTAAATATTATTATTTACATCATTGGGTGCTAACAAAATAAGATTAAATTTTTTTTAAACCCGAAATTTATATTTTTTAAAAAAAAAACACGGAACTAACAGATATAAATTCGTTAAAAATAACCGGAAGTGAGCTGAACCGTTTTAAAATTTTAAACTAAGAACATTGAACTGAACCGTCCAATTTATTTGACACCCTGGGAAAGGCATTTCAGGTCACGCAACGAATAACCACTTTTAGAAGGTTTTATAATTTTATAAAAGTATATATAGTTGTCAAGTTATACATTTATCCTTTAAATTAGACCCGAGCAAGCGGAAACGGGAATACGGAGCGGCGCAAAGAGCTCAGTGACGCCATAATTTGACTATCTTTAAGGATCCGCCAAATTTTGTACTCTTTTATACATCTAAAAAAAAATGTGAATTGTAACTGTATAAAATATAAATAAAATAAATAATTTCTGTCCATTTTTTTTACAAATTATTTATTTTTTTACCTAAAATATACATTTGTTTCAATGTTACGTTCAATTCGTGAATCCAATATTTTTAAAAATGAGGATCAAGTTTAGGTGAATTGGGACTTTATTTGTTAATGGACCTTCCAGATGGTTCATTCTCGCCCCGGGTTATCTCAAAAGTCTTTTAGCGCGGCGCGCCTTCTATTATGCTAAGTTGACTGAAGTTCGGAATATACTTAGAAATCAAATTTTTTTTTTTCTTTGTCATTTATCAACTATAAATTCTAGCCAAAATTGTGTTCGCGTCTTAGGGCATAAATGTCATGGGACAAAGAGACAATGAAATTTTTTTAAAAAAATTACCTTTTTGATATTTTTCTATCACCATAAAAATGTAGTCTAAAAAACGCTGGAAAAATTAACTAATTTGACGACCAATAAATAGAATTTAGATTTGGCTTTACTATAACGAATTTCTGATTTATAAGTGAATATACCCTGTATCTAAGTTATGGTTAAATAAATGTAACCATCATAGCCCGATCTCTTATACACTAACCCTAGAGGCCATCAGGACTTAGTTTATAAGTATCAGTTAAAATATATCTACCCAAGATCATATGTATTTACTAGACTAGCCAGCATTAAGGCTCTTAGCTTTTACCTTAGTATCAGTAATATATACATAAACTCTAGCTAATTATTTAAAAAAAAATTCAAAATATAAGTAAGAGATAGGCGAAAGAAATTTATTTATTTTTGTCAACAATTAAGTTGATAAATATACACATTTAAAAATAAAGTAAAATACAAAAAATAAACAACGGAAAACAATTTAGACAAATTTATCTTTTTAAAAAATAAATTATCCAAAATTACAGAAAATTATTTATTTTAAAAATGCTATCTGTCAAAGGTGCAAGCTTACTCTTACTGTTAGCAATTTTTTTGACTCCTCAAATTACTCAGCAAGTTGAGCAAACGAAGGACAATTTTACGTCTTCTACAGGGACCCCCAATCCAATTCTGGAAGAAAAATTGGACGAAAATTCGGTTGATCGTAAGATTTTATACATTAAGAAAATGGATTTGTATAAAAAGGATGTTTCTTCGATTAGATTAGTTCTTTAGAGAAAATAAATTAGATTTGTAATAAAATTTATTATAATCGTATTGGTTTTCCCTCTACAATAGCCTCACATACCCCAACTAGACTTTTAAATTTTCTGGGGCTCAATGGGCCCTTATCCTAACATTTTTATAAATTAAATATTGACATTTGTAGTGACTCCAAAATTTTTTTTTATCTGACTCTAGTAATTCCCCTTCCCCCATATTAACGCCACCGTTTTTTGCCATAATTTTACAATTATTACACGTATATTTATAAAATTTCAGTCATTTTATTAATTATATATTGAAAATTTTAAAGTCATTCTAGACGATTCTCAGTGGAAAATTCTCCTTTTAACGGCTTCTAAGAAAATCGATTCTTGGTTTGATGAAATGAACACCTACGATAAGAATTTAGCAAGTTAAAACAATTTTTATTAAAAAAATTTTATAAAATAAAGTGTTGTTAAACGGCTTCGTTTTGAGACGATTTTTAAAAACAATAACTCAATATTTCATCCATACACAAGCCTGAAGATTAAGGTTTGGACATCTTATAAGGAAATCTCTAGACTTAGGCTATATTTTTCTGGCTAAAATATGGAGTTAACTGTTTTAAAAAATCGGTTCAAAACGAGCCCTTTAACAACACTAGAAATATTGATATATTTTTTAAAAATCAAAAATCTAATTCAACCTTAACGATTTCTTAATAAATAAATACTCTTATTATATTAAATAGTTTTAACGAAATTGTAAAAAAAATGTTGATTTCTGTCTTGGTAAGAGGAGAGGCCCTAAATCGGACCACTTTTCCCGGTTCTCAAGGCCCTGGTCCAAAATTTTCTCGGTCTCAGGCTAATCCATGCACCAACTCCTCTATATATATCATATTACAAATTCTTTAAAGTGACTAATTATAAAAATATTATAATATTAATGTTGTTTAATTTTCTCAATTTTTATCCTAACGCACATTTTTCTCACACCTTTTTTGGGCGCATCGCCTAATTCATTGGGGCAAGAAATTCCAGTCCAATGGATTATCTAGGAATGAGTTAAAGATTAATCAGCCAGGATCCCAATAATTTTAAGATAGAGAGCAGTCATATACGAAGGAATTTTTTTAAAATTTAGAAAAGCTTTGATTATAAATAGCTAGAGAACGCGAACGCCATCGGTTATGATTTATTATAACTCCCTCCTCTCCTTTTCAAATTTTTTAAAAAGACGTTAATATTATAACCATTCAATTTTTTTAAATTAGACAAAATAAAAATACAAAGTAACTTCTTATTATAAAAGGTAATAATTAGTGTTGTTAAACGGCTCGTTTTGAGCCGATATTTTAAATCGGCTAACTCAATACTTTAGCTAGAAGAAGATCTCCTAAACCTCAAAATTTCATTAATATATGTCCAGACCTTCGTGACTTCTATGAACAAAATCTTCAGGCTTACTCAATATATTTCTGGATAAAATATTGAGTTAGCGTTTTTAAAAATTGGCTCAAAACGAGCCGTTTAAACAACGCTAGTAATAATAACGATTTCGTAATTTATTATACAAAATATTTGATTGTGCAAACAATGATAAAAAAACAGAAAACAAAACTGAAGAAGGAAAATCTGCGGGGAAAGATGAACAGGGCAACAAGACCGTTACGGATGTGGAGGATGATTTGAGCCCGAACGATTTCAGGATTATATTATCCGGCAGGAATGACGAAGTGGACGAGATAGCGAAAAAGGCTTTTGTGGCACTGGAAATATCTTCCAGACTGGCCAAAGAGTAAATTTTTTTTTTTTAATTAAAAATAATTATTATTTATGAATTGGTGAACATTATTTTTTAGCTTATCAGTTTTCGCTTGAAAAACTTTATAAAAAGAAAAACACAAAATGAGATTTTATTATAAATTTTAAATTGCAAGAAATCAAACATACTATTCAGAATTGCTAAATGCGATATCATTGTTTTCACAATAATGTTTTTTTTAACCCCTTATTTGCACAGCAATGTTTATTAAAATGGGATTAAGACATAGCTCGACATAGGTGTCCCATTTTTGAAATTATATTTTAATTATTATAAAATTATTTCACTTAAATGATTATGAACCAAATTTGTTTCGCATTTTTATAGATGTAAAAATCTTGGGTTATTAAATGGACCTAAGGTCGATTTTTTAAAACCGGCCCGGTTAAGAGTATAGCCAAAATAATATAATCTAAACCTCGAGTAGGGAATAAAGGTCCAAACCTTTTTCTAACGTAAGCCAAATCTTAAGGCTTACAAATGACATATAATAATACCTAGATGAAAGCGTCGTTAGAATGCAGATCAGCTGTGCCCGCCATTTTGGTAACCCACATAGTAATTATTCTCATGGTTAAAAACTACCATTAAATTGATAACTTGCTTTTCCTTATTATCTCGATGATCAGACACTACTTTAAATAAAGTTTGCGTCAGACATAGGATTGGTCTCTCGTTTATAATTTTTAATAATGATACGGGTAACCCAAGATGACGTCCTCAGCTGTTTTCATTTGACGTACTCTTTTAATGAATGGGTATTATTATATGTCATTGAGGTTTACATGATATTATTTTGGCTAAAGTCTTAACTCGGGCCTTTTTAAAAAAATCCCAGAGTAGGATTAAAGGTTAGAAAGATGACCGTTAAGGTTAATGGGGAGACATGAAGCTTTAAATACAATTTACAATAATACGTAGGCTGACGATGCATTCGTTAAAAGTGTATATCTATGAAAACAGCTGGGGACGCCATTTTCATTACCCATATCACTATTTAAAAAAATTTTAACGAGAGTGCCAATTTATTTCCTATGTCTGACGCGAACTTTATTAAGGAATCGCCTGATCATCGAGATAATAAGCGAGCAAGTTCTCAATTTGATGGCAATGTTTAACATGAGACTAATTACTATATAGATTACCAAAATGGCGGGTCCAGCTGATTTGCATTCAGCGACGCTTTCAAATGCATTATTATAAATGCCTCTCCTCGCAATCATTTATTGAGAAGCGTTTTATAAATTTTAAAAAACTTGAACAATTATTTAAAAACAAAAAATAATTTTCAGGGATTTTATTTTTTTATAAAAAGCCAAAATTTGACAGGAAAATCCGTTTCATCTCAGCTGGGAAAAGTGAAATTGCCCGATGATTTCATAACCAAGTACTGCCCATTCAATGAATACGGAAGGGAAGCTAAGGGGAGGAATTACATCGACAAGAGCCACAAATATGCGCTGTATAGAAGTCCCGATGGTTCGTTTAACAATCCCTTCGACCCTTACAAAGGAAGGTCATCAATACCTTTCAAAAGGCTATTGCCTCCCGACTTTTCCGACGGTTTATATCGAATCGTTTTATTTATCTATTTTCATTCATTTTATTTATTCATTCCATTTTCTTTCCCATTTTTGATTATCCTGAGCATCAATTACATCCATCTAATTATTCTCATCTCTGTTCTTTCCGATTTGGTTTCCGCTTTCATTTCCCGTGTTTCGCCGCCATAAGCAACTCCTCACACAGCTTACGTCAATTTTCCGTTTTAACTTCGGAGAGACGTTTTAATTTGTTAGGATAGACGATATCTCTCTTAACTTCATCCATGCCTGCCTGACACTTGCAAAAACAAAACTATTTTAGTCATTTATTCCACACATTCGTTTATTCAATCGTATATTTATAATTAACGCTTCAAAAAAAAAGGCATACAACTCTTTAGGTTAGGTTCAGATGGATATCCCCTTCCCGACACTAGAACGGTCAGCCTATTGATTCACCATCTGCCAGACTCATTACTACCCAATAGACATTCGGAGTTTCCTTACTTGACTTTGCTCATGACACAATGGGGACAATTAACCATTCACGATCTAACGTTAACCCCGTTATCTAAAGGTATACATATTTACATATTTAACATTTAATAAGTCGTCCAAAATTGTAATCTTACCCCCCCCCCATTTACGCCTGCCAATCAAATAATCTCCAAAAAAATTAGATAATAAAGATAACCACTTCTTTATTTTTTTTTGCTTCACCGTTTGCGAGGATTTTATAAGTATTGTTAAGTTATAAATTAATCATTTCATTTATTCATTTAATTTAATTTAATTTAATTTTTTTTATTTTTATTTCATTTATTTTCTTATCTTCTTCTCCGTTTAATGGCGATTTTCAGGTTTAATTACAATCAATATGTTTTCCAGTTAATTAATTTTCGCCTATGATGTTTCCAATTTTATTTTATAAGCTATCTTTTCTATCGTTACATCCTCTTACCTAAATTCAATTACTTACTTTAAATAACCCCCGTTCTTCCCCAATCCTTCCCTACAACTAGTGTCTACATGACAGAAAATTTATTGAAGGCAAACCACCTATCCCTAACCTCCCCCCCTCCCTTCAGCCCCAATATTTCCCCATCCATTATGTTCTAACAACTTCGCTATATTGATTTTGAGAAAAATCTTATAATGATCCATGATTTATAACCTCGAGGGCCACGCGATTATATTGACGAGGAAAAACAAATAATCTTTACATGGTGTCAATCATTGGTTGGCGATAAATTCTTAGGTTGGTGATAATCAACTAGTTGTGACTAACCGTATTTCCAAATATTGGCCACACGCGAAGTTATATAACGTCAAACTGTATACTAAAATCTTATCTGTGAATGAATGAGAAATATTAACATATTTAAAAAATCTTTATGTTTAATCTACAAATATTGCTTATATTTGCTTTACCCTATTTCCCCTGTAGATCTCTATACCCTGCCCCTTCAAAGAAATTAGAGGAAATCGCTCTTAAACTAACCCCCCTTCTTCTAGATGTTGCCTTCAACCCTATTACATACCTATCATTACTCTTCATCGTACATTAAAATTATTTCATTTTTCTTAGTTCCCGGCAGCAAATGCTGCGTTCCCTACAACGCGGATAATCCTAGTTGCGCTATCATTCCACTGAAACCGGATGATCCTTTTTTTTCTAGATACGGCAAGGATTGCATGGAATTCACCCGTTCCAGTCCCTCCTTCCGAAGGGACTGCACTTTAGGTTAGTATATCATGATACGATAAGAATAATTAGATGTGAGAGATAACCATTCCCTAGAGGAAAGTCTCTTTTAGGTCTAAAAATCGGCTATAAATTAGCGGTATCCTACCCTAACCGGGTACCCGGATCGAGCCAAGCCCTATTTTATTTTTTTGATAAACCCGAACCGTGCCGTGCAAATATTACCTTCCGGAGGTCTCTGACATATACTGTATGGTAAAATTGAAATAATTTTAAAATTTTAACTCCTATTTTTTATAAAGAGAAAGAAAGTAATTTTTGATTTCTTATTTCAAACAACAATTTGCGAGCTTACAACTTTCTCAATTTTATGAAGAGAACATTGCATGGAAGATCTGAGTCGGGGTTTTAAAATATCTAAATACTTTAATTTTTATGACTAAATTCTTTTATTTTTATAGTATATGTATGTATTTCTGTGATTCTTTTTACCATGTGTTTCAAAAATTCCATAATTTCCTTTTTGTAATCATTAATGTTCAAATATTTTTTTTAAAAAATAAAATTCGATTTTTAAACTTTAAAAAAAAAATATATATATTATGGTCTTAATAAAGGATTAAATAAGTTTGGGGAAAACCAATAAATTAGTGATCTGCACCGGGCCTAATTTTTCAAGCTCAGCCCTGCCCGATTTAAAAAGATTTGCCGGCCCGGCCAGGCCCAAATTTATTTAAATATAGAAATCAATTTTTATAATTACTCAAAATAAAAGACATATGTTGTATGTCGTTTAGTTTCAATAAATAAAATCCAAATATTTTTATTTTACATAAAAAATTCAATTATAAAATTGATAAATTTAGATATATTTAAAAAAAAAATTTAAAACCGACCCGACTCGGCCCAAATTTTTTTTAAATATTAGGCCCGGCCCGGCCCATACCCGATTACTTTAAATAGAATTAGGCTCGAGTCCGGCCCGGCGATGTGCCTAACTTTGCAGATCTCTACAATAAATTAAATTTTAAATTCCTATTTTTTAAGGCCTTTTAACAAAATGTAAGGGGGAAAACATACTTTCAACTTTTTAATCTCGTGGACAATAATTGCCCCGGTGGTATATTCCTCATCTCTCAACTATCGGGAGTGATCCTCGATTGGGACCACTTATGCAACAGCCGTTCCTCGGGATGTTACAGAAACTAATAGAAAAAAAATTATTAACCTTTTTCTTTTCAAATCATGATTTTATACTAACACATCACTATGGGTAATCTTGGGGAGGAGGGGGGACTATAAGATGTGTAGAAATATATCTGCTACTACCTTCTATATATAGGGTGCAAAGTATGTTAGATGATTTTTTTTTTTACAAATATAATATTTATTTAATTTTTGGGGGGTCAATACATAATTAAAATTGTATTTATATAATGTTGTCGTCGTTTTTTTTAAACTAAAATATAGGTCCTAAGGAAACATTAAATCAAGTAACATCCTACCTTGATGCTTCGATTCTCTACGGTTCAAGTGTCCGGGAAGAAAACTTGTTAAGAGCTTATGAATATGGTTTGTTTTTAATTTTTAATTAAATACAAAACCTTAAAAAAAATGTTTATTATTAGTGATATTTAATTTTTTTTAATTACATTATTATTACCCTAACAATCTTGAGCAGAGTAGGACACCCTAGAGAAATTTAACAATTATGAAGTGCATATAATACTTGTTTTAAATAGTTTCTAAGAATTTTTAGTCGATTCATCTCTCAGAGGAAGTTTAGAATATAGAAATTAGTAACTCATTAGCTACCCAATTTCTCGCTCTTAATATTTATTTAAGGCAAATTGGTGCTTTTGTTAATGTACCTTGGACACACCCAATTAATGATATAATTAGTTCCCATTTTCGGGGAGAAAACTTGTAATTCATTGAGAAACGGGGTTACTAAGAAAAAAAACTATCAAATAACCTCCAATATTCCCTTGCAATCATTGTTTTTTTTTAGAAAGTAACATGGCCAGATTGGCCCCCTTATCCCGAAAATATTTTTTTTACTCCCAGAATTATACACCATAAAGGATGCCCTTAATGACATATTGCCCCAGCCCTCCTTGCCCACCCTTTATATTGACAGCGGTTCGTTCTGAGTTCAAGTGGGGATTAGAATTGAATGAAATATAATTTCTTCTGCAGATTGTGATCGCAAATGAATCGTCGAAGAAATAAAAAGGACTTTGCCGTAGTTATCACGTGAGCTTATTTTAAGCCACATAAAACCGGCTATGAATGGCTGAATGCAATTATTCCTAGTTTTTAATAATAATCAGCTGTTCAGATCATAATTCCTATTCTATAGTATATATATAAGTAAAACAACACCTGTAAACCCACTATTTATAACAGTCCAAATACTCTTCAACCTAAACAACTAAACTTTCAATTTTATTCCATATTGACAACAACCACAAACTCCGAGACATTAATGGGTAAGGAGAACATTTTAAAATGAATAAATGGAAATGGAGAAGAGAAGAGAACAGGGATTCACGATTTTTAAATCCGAAGAAATATCTATTTTTCTTAGACAAATCCATTGCAATCACCATTTGCCGAGAAAATCATATTTCAATTCGGTTCTCACGTGACTAGTGTTTTTTAATGGGTAGATTTGAACCGATTTTTTAAAAAACTGCTGACTCAATATTTTTTTTATCCAAAAGTATATCGCGCCGCATGCCCTGAAGAATAAAGATCATAGATGGCCACAAGACGGCTGGAAAGTAAAACTGAGAGCGGATATTAAAGGCATTGGCCAAGTCGTCAATCTTTATTGAGATTTCATTTGATGGATTATTTTCTGAAATAAAATAGGAGTTATCCTCACGATTACCATCCACTGCTACCCCATAAAGTTGAAAAGGACTCAATACAAGTTTATTAGCGAAATCTCGAGGCATAGCCATATTTTTATGGCTAGAATATTGAGTTCACTCGACTAACTCTCGCATGAAACGCTTCAAAAATATAAAATTGTACAGATTAAAATCATTTACTGGTGCTATTTTTAATTATTTATTTTTTTAAAAAATTATTGGAGCATGCGTAGATTACTTATCCCTTCAGGTGTTAAACGGCTCGATTTGAGCCGATTTCTAAAAGCGGCTGACATCTATTAGCGAAATTTCGAGGGTTATGTCATATTTTTCTGGCTGACATATTGAGTTGGCCGTTTTTAAAAATCGGCTCATATCGATTCAACACTATAACCCATAAAGCAAAAAAAAAAAGAGAATCATCTGGTCATATTGAATCCAATAATATTATCAGCTTCAGAAGAAATGATCGCAAGCCATTATGATACATCTCCAAGAACACTTTAAATAGTTTTTTTTTAGATCACTGGTAACAGCTTTGATTTCGAATATTGATAGGTACAAATTTTTGCAGCTTATATATATATATATCGATATTTTGATATGAATTTTCAAAAGAAAATTTAGAAAAATTCTTGGGGAAATTTGTCCAATATTTCTAAAAGCAAAAGATATATACTAAAACTTGCTTAAGATCAATATAAATACAATTTTAAAATTTTACAATAGTCGTAAGATTTAATAATCCATGAATAAACTATTTCTCAAATAATAATCATATTTATTATTTATTATTATTAATAAATTAATTCCGACCAATCAACAATACGCAATATTGTTGATTGACGTGCTATTATTATGCAAGGCTACGACAGGATCCTTTTATAATTTTGACTTTATTTTGATTGTCTTGCAGACATGTTTAGCCATATTTCCGGTCCGCGTTGCTTTAACGAAGTTAAGTCGGCTAAAAAAATATGGAGCATATAAATCCAAAAATTATTATTTTTTATTTTTTTTAAAAAAATTTTGAAAAATAAGACATAATGGCGATTATTTAATATAAATTTATATTAAGTTTAAAAGTTCATGGATAAATTATCTGACTTCCATAAGGCAGGTATTCCAAACATGTCGGCATACATTTCCGGTAAAATCAGATTTTTAAAATTTTTAAAAACGCGCTCAAATGATGATTGAAAGTTGGAAAAATAGCACATTGCTAGCTTCTCTTCTCTTCTCATTTCATCTCTTCTCTTCTCTTCAATTTTCACCAATACCCTATTTGTGAGAATTCTTTTTCGATCGATAAAAAAAATAAAATCTCATCATGTGTTTATTTTTTTTTTAAATAACAGCCTAACATCAATATTTTGTCTAGAAAAAAATAATTACGCAAGCCTGACAAATTATCGCTCATAGATGGCACCAAAGCTTTGGAACATCTATTAGGGAAATCTCGAGGCTTATACAATAGTTATCTGGTTAAAATATTGAGTCAGCTGTTTCAATACTATGAGGTTTATTCTAATGGCGGATCCATTTATAACCGTTTGTTGATATCGAATAATAGTTAATTTATATTAATTTTATCTGTTATTTTTTTTAAAAAAAATGAAATGATTTTAGGCGAATTAATTGTTCGCGACAAAGTCTTCTTCAACGATATCCTGGATTTTCTGCCATTGCATCCGAATGGGACTCAGAAAGGTTGTGTCGGTGAATGGTGTTATATGGCAGGTTATTTTTATTTTATTTTTTACCCAGAAAGAAATGGGCTGTAAAATGATAGAATTCTCTTATCTTTTTTTTTGAAACTCAGATCTATATATTTATTTGTTTTACTTTACAAAATTCGAGCTTAGAGGAATTTTTACCGGGCCGGGCTTATTTGCCTTTGGGGTATAACTCACTCTACCCCTGAAGAACAATTTTAAAAGTGTCCGTAGAGTTTCCGCGTTCGAAACGCGTAAGTGGTAGAAGAAGAAGAATGGCAGCCAAAAATACGGTTTTCCAAAAAAAAATTCGCAATTTCAAGCTGTCGCGCATATGTTTTTTTTACCGTCTACTAACTAGTTTGGAAATTAATTATTTAGTGACGGGTGTGAATTTATTTTTTATTATTAAATCTATAATTTATCAAACGTTGAAACTTTCAGAAGCTAGAACTTCTCAGTATTTATATATATATAAGATTTATTTCTAAAAAACTAAAATAATATAAGGTGATGTGAGATGCAACGAAAACCCGGGATTGACAGCTCTACACGTTATATGGCTAAGGGAACATAATAGGTTGGCTAGAGGACTGGCCAGTCTGAACCCGCATTGGAACGATGAAAGAATATTCCAAGTTGCTTCCTTTTAATATGATTTGAGAATTGTTTAATGTATAAGTTTGTTTTTGGAAAAAAATTAATATAAAAACGAAATAAAACAATTTTATAAATTATCTAATTTGAGCGAGAAATGTATATTTTTTTTCCTCTTCGAATAAAATTGATTTCACCCTGTCACATATGTTAAGCCTAAACAAAACAAAAAATTGATTAGCTTTCACATCTAAATAAGTATAATATTCTCATCTGTGTTTAAACCAGTGACATATAATAATACCTAGACTGACGATGCATTCATAATAATGCATTCAAAAGCGTATTTGAATGCAAATCAGCTGGACCCGCCATTTTTGTAACCCATATGTTAATTATTCTCGTGTTAAAAACTACTATTAATTGATAACTTGCTTCCTTAATATCATCGATGATCGGGCAATTCTTTAATAAAGTTTGCGTCAAGACATAAAAAATAAATTGGCCTCTCGTTTAAAAATTTTAATTAACGATATGGGTAACCCAAAATGGCGTCCCCAGCTGTTTTTTCATTTGATGTACACTTTTAATGAATGGCATCGTCAGTCTAGGTATTATTACTATGTTATTGGTTTAAAAAACCCAGTAAATTTTTAAAAATAACATATTTTAAAAAAAACTTATGTAAGGAAACCAAGAGAATCGTTGTAGCTCAATACCAGCACATTAACTATTTCGAATACTTGCCCATAGTTTTGGGTAAAAAAATAATCAAGCTGTACCCCGACTTAAAAGTTAGCCCAATCGCCGAATACTATTATGGGTATATTTTCTTTTTTTCTTTTCTTTTCTTTTCTCTTCTTTTCTTTTCTTTTCTTTTCTTTTCTATTCTTTTTTCTTCTTTTCTTTTCTTTTCTCTTCTCTTCTTTTCTTTTCTTTTTATGAGGTATTCGGGGAGGAAAATATTATAATTTTTTCATTTTACGTTTGCTGGTCTAAAAACATTTCTGATATTTAAAAAAAACATAACAATTTTTTTTGACCCTTTTAAACGCGACGAGTGAAAATGGTGCCTTTTCCTCGTTTGCCTTACAACTAATCATTTAGGGCGAACCTTGGATATCTCCGTAAGGTCTCTTCATGTTTGTTTTTTTGGATTTTCGCATTTGAAGGCTTAAAGATTTATAGAAAAAGTCAAGAATATACTCTAACAGAGCCCTAGTTGTTTCAGTCTGATTTTTAAAGTTAACTTCCTCGTTTGCCTTACAACTAATCATTTAGGCGAACCTTGGATATCTCCGTAAGGTCTCTTCATGTTTGTTTTTTTGGATTTTCGCATTTGAAGGCTTAAAGATTTATAGAAAAAGTCGAGAATATACTCTAACAGAGCCCTAGTTGTTTCAGTCTGATTTTTAAAGTTAACTTCCTCGTTTGCCTTACAACTAATCATTTAGGCGAACCTTGGATATCTCCGTAAGGTCTCTTCATGTTTGTTTTTTTGGATTCTCGCATTTGAAGGCTTAAAGATTTATAGAAAATGTCGAGAATATACTATAACAGAGCCCTAGTTGTTTCAGTCTGATTTTTAAAGTTAACAGGTTAACAGATGACCTTGAAACTCCCTCCCCTTTCTCAATTCAATCATTTTGAAGACCCTCTTCTGCCAAAGATAGATGCTGACATGCTGCCTATGAAAGAATCCCCCTCCCTTCTGAGACTTTTGTGGCAACATTGATTTCTATCCCCTCTGTGTTAGAGGACCCATGACATTTTTTTTGCACTTTTATTTTAAAAAATTTAGGTATAATATCTAGAAAAAACTCTGTATCCGGTTAATGTTAAATATCGCATGATGCAATATTTAACCGACCAATATTTGATACGATCGAGATAACCAATGTTTATCTATAATACTTAAATTAAAAACTAAGAATGTTTGGGACCTAGTCGGGATGAGCGCGTATATCTTAATCCAGTAGTTTTGGGTTCTAATCTAGCTAGACCATGTTTTTTTCTGAAGCCAACTAGGTGGCCCCTTTCTATGTGCCATGACGCGATTTCGTTAATATATATATTTTTTTAAATGGTCATTGTTTAGCATCGGCAAGATTGTTGGCCTGCGATATCTAACCTTAGCCTCAAAATCCTTATATAAAAGAAGAAGAAAAAACAATTTTTTAAAATAATTTTAACAAAATTTTTTTTTAAAAGATATTCACCAGAATTAGATCCCGGGACGAGTCAAGCCTTTTCTACTTCCGCTTTCCGATTCGGGCACAGCATGGTAGCCGATAAGCTCATTTACGTCGAAACAACTCCTCAATTTACGTAAATGTTAATTTATTATCTATGCAAGAAAAAGGTGATATTCATGATTATAATATCACATCCGCTTTCAGCCATTTTGTCTATTTTAGAAAAAATGGCTGTACTTATTTTTTGGGGTGGAAAGTATTTTTTTTTTAAAAATATCACTTTCAATTAAACTTGCATATAAGGGCTTATCCGAATTTTATTTTTGACGGGCATCACTCGCCTTCATTATTAAAAAGTTTCAATAAACCAATCATATTGAATTAGAAAAACAATATAACTTAGACTATGAATCCATGTTTTTTTCTTAAGTTTTGTTATATACCATAACTTTTCTGAAAACAGCAAAAAAAAAGGATAGTGGGGGGGGGGGGGGTGGGGGGTGGAAGAGGTTGAACTTTCAATTTTGCTAACCCTACATTTTAGCCAGAAAAATATTACTCAAGTCTGAAAACTTTGCTCCCATGAATGGCAGAAAGGTTCGGACATCTATTAACAAAATCTTGAGGCCGTAATAATAATTTGGCTAGAATCCTATTTTTAAAATTGACTAATTTAAGTCGTTTAACGAAATTCCTAAAAATGTTGGAGGGGAAAGAGTGGCCATAGAAACTTAATAATAATAAGGAAACGATACGTTGATTTTGAACCGAATTTCATGATTCTTTAGCCATTATACCTTATAATTATACTCCAGTAATTAAAGCGTTTTTTTAGCACATAAATTGAAACTTTTAAATGTTTCCTATTTAAGACAAGCCGCGTCAGTTACTGACATATTCTTAGCTGGTTAGCTCGCTTTTTAAAAAAAAAATATTGATAATTTTTTTTATATCAGAAATATCTTACAGTAAGTGTATTTAAGGTATGTATCATTGAATTTGTTTTAAAAATTATGTAATTTTAAATATACATATTTTTATGAATCAAAGCCGAGAGACGGTGACCTATTTAAGAGAGGGGTACTTTAGACCCTCGCTAATATCGGGCCATAGTTATCCATCCTTACCCGATAACATCCTCCAGGGTCTCTTATACCAAAAATCTTACATAATGGACAATTATGCTTCCCCTGAAGTATATCAATTATTAATATATATTATTTTTTTCAACTGTTTTAACTGTTCTGTGCCGAACCTGAGCCGGGTAGGTTTACCAAACTCAGAACCGGGTACGATGGACCGAATCCGAATTCCGAGGTGTAAATTTGTTGGATCCGATAATATTCCGGTTTATCAACCCGGATCTGATTTCTTTTCCTTTTCTCATTGTTTTTTTTTTAAAAAATAATTTAGGTTTTAGTTTACGACTTAAGCTTTGTTTGCTCCTATTTATGATTTTACAGTTTTTCAAATTTTTATATTTATTTTTGCAATTGTAAATATTTTGATGTAATTTTAAAAATACCTTTTTTTAAAAAAACCTTTATTTCTCTGCAAATATCAACAATTATTGTAATTTCCTAGTATTTTCAATTTATTCCGGAACTTGGATAAAACTCTAACCTAATTTGTCTCTGGGTCGAACACCCTATTTTATTTTAACCTGACCCCCGCAGCGAACCCGCTAAAATTTTTGTCTATGTTCAGAATTCTTGTTTGGCATACCCTTTTATTTTTATTTTATACTCCTTCTCCTTCTCTCCTTTTTCATCTTTTAACACCCCCGCCCCCATTCTTTCACCGATATAAATTATCTTATATGGCCGCCATCAACACGATTAGTTAGTGGACCATCTCTACCAAACCAAGCCCAGTGTTCCGGGTTTGGACCTGATTGCTCTCGATATTCAAAGAGGAAGGGATCACGGTCTCCCGGCCTACAACAATTGGAGAGTCTGGTGTGGACTGAAGCCCTTCACAACTTTTGACGAATTGGCGGAAGTTATGCCTATCGATTTGGTCGATAAATTCAGAAGTCTTTATACGTGAGTTTTTATAATTTAAAGGCCTAATTGACACATAAAACTTATCACCTAGACTGTTGTCGATTCGTTCATTAAAATGTTACAAATGAGCTAGGGACACGCCATTTTTACTTGGAAACCAGGATAATGGGTCCCCCAGCTGATTTATATATAATATGATCATTTAAATGAATGAATGGCCAGACCAGATAAGATTATATGTCATTGATGATAATGCTTATTTTTTTGAAAAATTTCGAATCATAAATTTTTTTTGTAAATTTTAAAGAAATCTTGTTAAAATTTTTTTAAAATTTTTTTTTCGACTAAGAAAAGGCTAGTATAAATTTTCCTTAAAAAAATTTCAAGTTGTGATTGGTTGTTTAAAAAAAAAGTTCAACCAATCGAAAAATAAAATTATTTTTTAAAAAATATTTTTCTAAAAGATCCGTAGACGATATCGATCTAGTTTCTGCGGGGATGTCTGAGTACTGGATATATGATAGCATAGTAGGACCCACTTATGCTTGCATCATAACCGAGCAAATGATAAGACTCAGAAAGGGGGATCGATTTTGGTACGAAAATGGTCCTGGATCCCTGTTTACCAATCCTTTTACATTGGGTCATTATATAAATATATTAATTTAATTATGGTCCACTATACCCCGGTCTCTTGTATAAACAGCGGGATTTTCTCTTTTTTTCCCCGTGTCTCGTGAATAGATATAAATATGTAGGGCACGATAGAATTAATAAAATAATACAAAATTCATAATTCAAAACAGATGTTCCATCACATCTCGGACCACGAGATACTTCTGTTATTTATTAATAATTAGCGGTCTGATGGGCATACAATAATCACCTGAGATATAGGGAAACAGTGTTGGGACTTCGCGGGTAAAGAAATTTTTGCACCCCACCCCCTTCGAATAATAACTACGATCCATTAGATATAGCGGAGAAAAGGAAAATCTCAAGGAATATTCCCATCTAGCCGACTTTTGTTTAACCCCCCTCCCTAGCCCACTTAATGTTTAAAAAAAATTATTTTAATGGCGGTTTGGGCTCTTTATTTATTTATTTAAATGTATTTTTTAATTAAAACATAAATACAATATGCAATGTTATGAAATAAAACTATTATTTTTTAATTAAATTGAAGTCCTGTTCTGCTCATTTCACCCTAAAAAATATCAAAAATTCACCCCCCCCCCCCTACCATGCCCGCCCATTACTTTGAAAATTTTTTTAACCCGCCTCTCATCCGCCCAACGTTAAAAATATTTTAAAAAACCCTACCCATCCCCATTCAAAGTATGGGCAGGCGTGGCGCTCAATGCAGACATCTAAACTAAGCCAAAAGAGCCATGAAGACAACAATCTCAAGGGCCCTGATTAAACAAAAAAAATATAATCGGCTTTGAGATATTACCTTACAATTTTTAAATTATTTAAAGATTCATGGCGGTCGCCAGAGGGGAGGATAACTATTTTTAGCAATTTTTTTTTTCTAAATATGTTATCATATATGAAATTCACTTTTTTCTTTTCTTTCTGATTGTTAAGAAAGGATTAAATATATATATATATTCAAAAAAAAAACATCTCGTATTCATTATCCCATATGATAATTGGTTTTAAGTGTTGTTAACGGCTCAATTTGAGCCTATTTTATAAAAAAACGGCTGAAGCCGCATTCAAAGTGGGATCCGATCCGGCACGATTTAACAGCTGATTCTTTTTTTTTAAATCTGTTTATGAGATCAATTTTTTTAAAATAACAATAATTTTTAATTCTATACATGATAATAACCTAAGAAATATTGGTTTAAATAGAGAAAAATTGATTCTCATCAACCGATTTAAAAATCGATCAGCTGTTAACGTGTCGGATCGAATCATACTTTGAATGCGGCATTTCCGAAAGCGTCGAGATTTCGCCAATAGATGTTCGATCCTATGTGCCATCTATGAGCAAAATCATAAGGCTTCCATGTTTAACAACGCCACTCGGTTTCTTCGTACATATTGAAAGCAGTCTAATCTTATATAAATTAATTTTTATCGGAGAGCTTAAAAATTATTTCCCCGAAAATAAATGATATATATTTATAATAAAAGGAAATAATTTCCTTGTAATTTCTTATCTATAGTAAAAAAAAAAAAAAATAATAATAATAATTCCTCAAAGCCTGCTTATAAATATCTATTAATATAAAACATCTTTAACTGTTATTTTTTAACGCAGATCAATTGAACGAGATCAAAAAGACTTGGTTTTCCCACATATTATGCCGCAACGCGCCCCTGATAAAGGATATACAACTCAACGCGTTCTTTGATTCTAAATATATGGAGTATGTTTAAATCTTTTTGACTAAAGGCATTTTTGTAAAAGGTGGAAAATGACAAATTTTGAAAAAGATATATCTACCTATCATATTCAGAGTTGTTAAAAGATATTTTTTAAATGGATCTAGTTACACCGATACAGATACATCGTTTAAAAGTTATCGATACTTGTATCTAGATACTTAAACAACTATGCTAATATTACATGAATCCCCCGCATGCTTTTTGAGTGCCAAATTTTAATAAACGTGTCCCTTTGAGGGGGTTTAATAAGCAAGGGTTTCAAGTTTTTAGATTAACAAATCGTGTCAATTTAATTAGATAAAGGCTATATTTACCAATTTTATCCCGGTGGAATAATTTGTTTCTTTTAAGTAAAAAAAATATATATCAAGCAATTTTTGTTGAACTTTATTTTTTTTTTAAAAATGATTGTATTTTCGTGTTTTCTTTAAATAATATTTTTTTTATTAATAACGTGAGCGATGGAATGAATATAATATAAGTGAACAGAGGGATTGGCGCTATCTAGAAATCATTACAGCCCCAACCTATAAATTAGCCTAATTCTAAGCAAATATTTTTAAGCCAGCTCAAACGTATTCCTGGCCGGGAGATTACCTCTATAAGCAATAGTAATTATTTGTAATTTTGTTAATTATTTTCTTTATAAAAAAAATATATATTCAGTAATCGATTGAGACCCTGTTATTCCTACCCTGACATCGATCTATCATTCTGGAAAGAGATCCTTTAATCATCATATTATTTTTTTTATGAAATATAAATTTTTAATATGCAAATAACGTTATTTTCCTCTTTTTTTAAAAAAAAATATTTTAACCCTTACAATATTAATAATTAGATTTTTATAGATTTAAAAAAATGAAAATATTTTAACCATTGAATTTTTTTATTTACAATATTAATATAATAATTAGTTTTAATAGATTTTATTTTTTAAAAAAATAAAGATATTTTAACCATTTTTTATTTTTAAGATACAATTTGCTCTATATACAAAATAATACATTTTTAAATTTCATGTATATAATATATTTATATAACCCTACTAAGATTTAAAATAAAACTCTTAACAAACTTTTATTTTAAAATTTGATAACAGGCATGATAGATTGCCACGTATCTTCTTTTTAAAACGCTCTCGGAAAACTGATTAAATCGGAAATACATTCCAGAATAATTCTTAATAGATTTTTAAGAAATTTGTAACTTCGTTCTAAACATAAACTTTAGTTAAACAATTTAAGTTATTGCGAGAATCTGTTGAATGATAATAATTTAATAATATTTCTTACACATTTCGGTGCTCTAGAAAAAATCTATATTTTTTTTTCTATAAATGACATAGAACTACATAATATTAAACAGCGATAAATAGTAATAGTATATAACAACATCAGAATTAGAGTACTAAAAGGTCAGAGATAGTTGCACTTTCCAAGCTTATACAATTTTTTTTTTAAAAAAACATTTTGCTTATTATCTGAGCTTTAAGAAGTCGAGTAAATATTTAGACTGAGGTTCAGCCTGAAAAATAATATGTTTCCTTCCTATTCCTTTTTATTTTGACTGATTTAATATCGCTGTCAACATAGAATAAACTAAAATAAGAAAGTTTTTTAAAAAAAATTAGATGGTATATATCTTATTTTGTAATAAATAATTATCAAAGTTATTGTTTAATACCTAATATTAACGGTAACAAGAAAAATATATTATTAACATGATTTTGTCCCATCGGCCAGGTCTAAATCTTAAAAAATAAGATTGGCATTAGAGGGCACAGATGGGTTCTGATCAATAGAAATCAATTTTTCATGTCTCTACGTTGTGATTAGCAAGTATAGTCAAAGCCTGGTGAGGGTTAGAATGGGATTAGAAAAAATAGGGTTAATGGGATATTGGGGTTCGTTCGACAGACTAATGTGAGATGGAATAACTTTACATTATTTTAAAATTAATTTACACCATAATATCCAACGTTTATTGGTGTTGAATGGTTAAAACGCAACTTATGATAAAAAAAATTTAATGTTTCGACATTCATCACCTGGAAAAGAATCTAAATTATCATTTAAAAAAAATTTTCGTTAACACTACACCAAAAAAAAATTTCATCAACAGAATATAAGAAAAGTGAATGAATTACTTAACCCTTCATTGCACAGGTGGAACTATTCAGACCACACTCATTAAAAAGGCTATTACTTAAAATTCTTTTTATGTTTATCAAATCTATTATTAACTTAAATATATGTGGGCAAAATTAATTATGATTTTTTTTTCAGTTCAAAAAGTCATTTTTTCCATATGTTATAGCATTGATATATTAACCATAAATAATTTTTTTATACATGGTTTTTATTAATTAAAAGTTATATTAATATTTGATTAGATAAACATTTCTACATCATTACTTTTATTTATATATTTTTTTTAAATATTGTAACATTTTAAAACCTGTCACATTTTTATTATATTAAAATAATAGTTATAATCATTGACTTATAGTTTATTTAATATATTTTTAAAATATGAAAGATACAAATTAATTTGATTTTAATAAATATTGTTTTCTAAATTGGGGTCTCCCCCCACCTATCACTTGAAGGATTTCTCACCTGTGCAATGAAGCATTTGAACAAAAGCTCTTCGTGTTTAGAAATATAAAGCACCTTTATGGTTAGGCTGCATTTAATGTGATTATATTTAAAAAAAAAATTTTTTTTAAGTTTTCACATCCAGGATTTATCGGCAAGGCTTAGAAATAAACCAAAGAATTATTGAGGTAATTTATAATTTAAAACTACATTTCAATTTTCTTTTTAATGTGAATTTAAATTTTTAGCGATTAGGAAAAAGCGTCTAAATAATAAATCTATCATCTCCCATAATTTAACTTAATGATTAAATATGCATTTATTCATTTTATAAAAATACAGATGCATTCGATTTTTTTATGGCGACGAGTGAAATTTAGTTATAACAATAAATATGAAAACCCAATCACTGTAACATAATGTGCAAAGATAATGATTCAACCACTCTAATGATAAAAATAAATAAAAGAAGAACCAATGAGTACAAAAGAATATTGAAGCAGTAAATATAACTCAATAAAAAAGTAGGTGAAGTAGTTTTTATGCCTATAGCAACCATATTTAACTCTAGAATTATGCATCGGAATCATTGGTGTGGTCAGGATATTGTTAGAAGAGGGGGGGGGGATAAAATAGAATAGAATAATGAAATTAATCACAGAAGATACCATTAATTAAAACTACATATGAGATAAAATGGGAATTTTAATTATTACAATAGTAATAATGACAGTTTTAAAAATAGAGTGAATGAAAAATTTATTAATAATATAACTAAGAACTATGCCTATCCTAGGGTGGAAAAACTCACCATTCCTTCCAATTTTTTGTATCAAGAGCACAAGGCCCCTAAATCCGACCTTTTGAAAATATTTTTGGACCCCAAATTTTAAAAAAGTTATAATTATTAAATTTTAATTCATCATTAACAATTAAATCTAAATGAAAATACAACATATTTAAAAAAAAATATTATTTATTTAATTTATGCAAATTGATAAACAATTTTTAAATAGTGATGCTAAACACCTCGATTCGGGTGGATTTTAAAAAACGGCATTATGATTTTAGCCAAAATAATAGTAGGTAAGCCGCGAGATTTATCAAATAAATGTCCAACCTTCCTATTATATATGAGCAAAATCTTCACTTGCATAAATTTAGGCTAAAATATAATAGAGTCGTTTTTAAAAATTGAACTAATTCTTGCCGTTTAACAATATTAGTTTTGAAAACCCGAGCCCAATTATTCATTATATTATTTATGGAGTAATCCAAGAAAATTATCTAGGAATCATTAATTTACAATGTCATTCTCTGAAAGTATAATAATTGTATTTTAAAGCAATTAAAGAATTAAATATTAAATCATCAAATATAATAAGTTAGCATATGACGTGCAAATGTTATGTCTACCGGAAGATGTTAAACAATTAAGGAAATAGTCCTTATATTCATTGCTACAACCACATGCATCTTGTGATTCAAAATTGATATAATAATATTGGTATTATTTCTAATTTTTTATATTATCTAATGCATTGTAATATTTTTTAGGCTTTTTAACATATCCTGTAAATATACAGACAATACGCTTAAAAGACCGTTACGAGAAGGGCGAGTCATTTAGAAACATCTCATATCATTTACAAGAATTTTGAGGCTATTGGTGAGGTATTATTATACTTTTCTAATAGATTTCTTAATTCAGAGGTTTTTTACCCATGATTCATTCGAAGCCTCTAGTCTTTTATCTCAATGTGTTAATATAATAAATTACATTATATCGGTCATTTTAATTTATGAGGTATTAATAACATTGAATCCGAATAAGTATCTACAGACATTAGAAACTAATATAGTATAGTTGATGCTAAAAGAAAAAAGAAGTAATAATTCTACCTAGAAAAAAAGAAAGCTGTGAAATAGAAAGTAAGAATTTGAGAGGACTGGATACGTTTCAATAATATCCCCAATGGAGACCACATCAAGGCAGAAATCTCAACGATCGAGAAAGCTACACATAGTTAGATTGAAGCGATATGCAATTTAATGAGTTGGGAATTGTGATGCATATATCTATTACAAAGGTATAAAAGTGTTTATAGATAGGTGATAAATTATAGAAATAAATATCGTTAGTTCGTTTTTATTTATATTTTTCTTAATTCTGTGTTGGATTCGATTTTATTTGATAAGAATGAAGAGACAAGAGTGTAGTTCAAAATATACCCTTTTCTTCTTCCTAATTGGTTTTAGTCAATCTGTCAGATCCTAGATTGTGGTATTGGTAAATTGTCCGATTTGAGTCGATTTTTAAAAACATCTCAATTAAGATTTTAGTCAAAATAACACTAAGTAAGCCTCAAAATTTGACAAATAGAGATCCAACCATTTCTATCATATATAAACAAAACCTCTAGGCTTTCGTAATATTGACCCAAAATAGGACTGTTTAACAACACCATTTGGGCCTTCGATATTAGATCGTAATGTGCGTTTGATTTGTCATCAGATTATATATGCTAATATATGATAATAATGTTCGTGAAAAATTCATTCATATTACTTTATTATAGCTTTTTTTTAAAACCATTTAATTTTAAAAGAAAAGTAGTAAAACTATTTAACACTTTCACACGTAGGCCCACCTATTCCTCAAACAGGGGCATTACCTTTTCAAAACTTTTTTAATTAGGTTACATATTATTTTATTGTAATAAAACATGATTTTGATTGCTTTTTATTTATTAATCGCATGTGTATTTCCAGATATATTGATTAATTGTGATGTAATATCGAAAAAAAATAAATACATATTTGCTATTTTTGATAATTTAACACATGGAATCATAGGTAAATAACATTAATTTAAATATGTGTTAATAATTTTTTTTTCTATATTATATGAACTTAGCTTTTTTTTCATGGATATATTATCGTGAAGCAGAATCTCACCTACATGAAATATGGTCTTTTTCATTGATCATGGAAGCATTGTTATGTGCTTTCTTTTCTTGCATAATCGATATTGACCATTTCATTTGCGCCAAATCCTTTAATATAAAAGTATATATATATATAAATAAAATAACTCATAAAATTTTATTTACTATATAGACAGTGCTGGATTATCGACAAGATTTATATGGCCGGCCATTTTTGCACAATTCAGCACTCATTCCTTTTATAGCTATTTTATTATTTATATTATTAAAGTGGTTAAAATTTATGCCCAAATTGTTGCCCAAAAATTATGGGATTTTATATTTATTATGTAATGCAATTGAATTTTTAATTCCTTGTTTAATTATTGCCATGGCTACACATCACATACGGGATGCTATAAGAAGAGGTTTAACCTTTAAATTTTTTTTATGTCGAAATTTTAATTTAAATAATCATCAACGTCATTTTTTCTTTTTAAACACCAATCCTCTCCCTTATTTTTTATATATTACATTATTGATATTTATTCCACCCTGCTTGGCATTAAGTGTAAAAATATATTCATTCTTATTTATTCAACAAAGTCACTTATCAGGCATTTCCCAAAATAGTAAATACAAGCCCATACATTTGATATAAATGAAATTAATTTGAATATCACTTGCCATTATTTATATATTAATTTTAAAGACGTCAAATCAATATTATAGTAAATTTTTATATAAATGTATATATACCATATTAGTAAATAAATTCTAAAGATTACAAATTTATATTATTAATTTAATTTATCAATTAATAAAAAAAACTTATTTTATTTACTAGACTACATACATATTTTAATATTATTATACACCTCCTTGTAAAACTTTATTTAAAATATTGAGATAAACATAACTTCTAATCATTGATGGGATGGAGGGAGGGGATTTATATTTTAAAATATCTGCTTTTCAAAAAAAATTCTAAACTAAATTGTTTATAATTTAAAAAAAATTATGGCTGTACTGATCTTTTGGCCAATACCAATCTGATATTGCTTATCAAGACAATAACCAATCTGATAGACTTCATATTTATATATCCAATCAAAGTTAAGTTTGCGTCTTTTTTTAAACATCTTCAGTGTGATATTTGTTCATCCATTTTTCCTCACTTCTAGACTACCTATAAATGATTTCACCCATCTAGGCTCTTCTTTAGAAGGGGGTCATTGCTATTTAAATCTTTCCTTAAATAGGGGTTATTGACACCTATTTAAATAATTCCCTCAACAACCTTACACTCTTATTAAAGTCCCTTTTTGTTTACCAAGCCTTTTTCTTACTAAAAAAACTTCTTCAACATTCCTAAGATTCTCTATGCCATGAATTCCTCACCAATTTTCAAAAATGAGGATCTTCTATCCTCACATGAACTTACAATTTATTATCTAAAAATCACTTCTTAATTTTAACTTCTGCTTGGCTACAAAACCTCCTCAATCTCTCAACTGCTCATCCCAAATGATGACCTAACTCTAGTCCTCTGGGACGAAAACCTACTACCATCTAATATTAAACAAATCATCCACACATTGATTACTTCCTTATGAATGATCACCAAGTCAACACACCAAGATTTTTTTTAAAACTGCCTATGAATTACTCGAGGTATTAACTCAGCTCGAACCTTGGATTGCTCTTCTCATCAGAACAACTTAGGATTTCTGTCGCACTCCATCTAGGCTTAAACATCTAATTGTGTTAACTTGTAAAATAATAGGCAGTAAAGGGCATCACCCACTACATTGCAAATATTCCTGCTGACATCAACTCCACCACACAAACTATCAATGACATAATACAAGCTTCCAAAAAGGCTAACCCTTCAAACCAGTTAGTTTTCTTAATGATAGAATGAAAAGACCAGATGTAATTCCTTTAAGACCTACGTGTGAAGGCTTTTGCCTGTTCTGGGATTATATTTGTATTGATCTCAGCTAAATCAAATAATTCACACTTTGCCCTGCCCCATGCCGAAACTTTAAAAAAATACTTCAAATTGCAATTTTCATACCCATAGTTACTAACACCTTGGGAATCTTTTGGGGCTAGGTTTTCTAATTAATTAAAAGCTTCAAAAAGGATAACTAGACACCTGACATCCATGAGAGGAGACAGGATCTCTTTAGAGATCTGTTTATTTAACTTTCTTAGCATTCATTCCTCCCTTGAATGAACCCATACCTTTTTTTTTAATTATTTACTTCTTTTCTTTTTTAAAGTCCATTTTTTTTACACTCTTTTAGGAATTTTTTTTAGTCTTTTATCTAAAATCTATATTAGGGTCGACTTTTGATGAACCTATCTTTTTTTTATTTCTAGACCAATAAACTGGAATCAAAATATCTAGAGGGGATTGTCCTTACCCTATTGGATCTTGTTAAATTCCCTAGATTTTCTTAAAATATTGGATATGTCATGACAGGGAATAAGTCTGGAGTAGCAAAGCGATTTGTACACTATATCCAACCAATCATACCCAGTCATTGTTTAAATCGCCTTTTAGAATTAGGGGTGTCCAATGCAAAAATGTGTAACCGGTGTTTTAAAAGCCTTGATTGACACAATATAAGGTTTATTTATGTAGCCAATCTATCAAAAATCAAAAGGCGTTGGATCAAATAGCATATGAATTTAGCATTCATTTACTGAAGATTGGATGGGTACATGATGTAAGATGGGTGTCTAGCAGTCTTCATACTGTTAAGGAAATTTAGAATAACTCTTGTATACCCACACAAATTCTGGCAACAGTGCAAAATTTAAAGGGTTATCCACCCGATTAGGAAGTGGTGATCAGATCTCGCCTTAATGTATGATGTTCTATTTAAATTATCCAATCTATTTTTAAGGTTTCAGGTAAGAATAATCAGTTTACCTAAAGCTGAAAAATTAATAAAGGGGTCGTTTGCCTGGTGAATTCTAAATCTCATTAAATTTCTAAATGAGTGTTTATTTAATATTTCTAAAATAAGCACATATAAAAATAGCTCAAGGAGGTAAAGAAATTGTAAAAACGTCTTTTATACAGAAATAAATAAACTTTGATTATTAGTAACAGAAGGCGTATCAACATCAATTAATTACTGCCTTAAGAGACATTATGATAAATAGGTTAATGGGTGATAATTTTAATTAGCTTTATTAATTAAAATACTATATTAAATTACACAGTATATCTTTTTAGCTATCTAATCTTAAATGGAATATTTGTAGGACTAGGAAGATAACTGACCAGTAAACACTTACATTTATTGTGGGGAACGAACAAATTAAATGACTTTGTTTGCAACTCAAGATCGAGGTGGATCTCGCAATAAATGTGATGAGGGGATTTATTGATGATAAAAAATAAAAGTTTTAAATGCCCCTCGTGATATTAGCCAATTTTTTTAGCCGGCTAAAAAGTTGGCAAATTAAATAAATGCACTGCCCGGCCCGGGTTTTATATTTTCAAGCTCGGGCCGGCTTTTTTTTTTTATGAAAAAAAATTTCAGGCCCGTCCCGAATTTTTTAAAAATATATTTTATTTATTTTTGATTTTTTATAGCTAATAATGACAATTTCAAATATTTGGTTTTAAAAATATACGGCCCGGCCCGCTTATATTTAACACGGGCCGGGCCTTCGGGTCTCTGAAATATATTATTATAACAATCCTTACTTTCTATGTTAATTTTTTTTTAATAAATCCTAGCTTAACGATTTCATACATAAAATTTTCTGACAATTTAGGCTTTTAAAACACATTAAACTATTCTAAATATAAAGGCTTGTAAAGTTGGTATACAACTTAACCTTATAACACATAAAATTATATTCTATTTTTTTTAAATATAGATTTTAAAATTCTTGACATGTCCCCTCTTTCCAAACCCCCCCCCCCCTTAAAAAAACGAAGTGTCAATCTTATAAAATCTTTCTCCTAATCCAAAAAAATTTATTTCTAGAAATTTTTTAAAACATTTTCAGTTCCTTTTTCAAAACCCAAAGATAAATAAATTAAAAATGTACCTTATAGCGGCTTCAAAAATATTGTTTAGATCAATTCTTTTTCCTGATAAATTTTGTAGGTCCGTTGATTGTGTTTTCTAGGAAATCCGAAATCTATGTACAGATGTTCACTGAAGTTCAGATCCGATCTCCATTGATTATCACATCCACAGTAAAAGTCCTGTTTAACATAATCAGTATTTTGTTAGAATGAATTTTAACTATTAGCATCCCTATTATTTGTGCTAGAAACTAGTGTATTTATAATTAATCCTCATGAGATACACTTTATTATTATTTATCTGTTTAACATTTTATAATTTGAGTAAGTTAAATAATAGTATCCATTACATTACCGCCTAATTTATATTAGCTATCACTGTTACTCTTATTAAAGGTAGTATTTGTGTATTACTCTTTTTTTTAAAGTGGCTGACGGAGGTTGCTATATTAGTAGTATTCGTAATAACTATACTGGTGTTATTTTCTGATTTTGTTTCGATAAATTTATGGGCAGCATACTCGTTAATTATATTCCTGAATTCAATATTATTGTAACCATTCTTTTTAAGAAATCCCATCCCAAAATGCTGTCAATAATATGTGAAAATTGATTATCGATATTTACTCCATCTATATTAGCCCTCCAGCATGGACACGGCCTAATGCCACTGGGTTGGGAGTGAAGATTTATCTTATATTGCTGAATATTTGACTCTTCCATCGATATATTAGGGATTATATTTACCACGCCGCATGTAATTATCTTCCGTAACGAATTATTAATTAGATGCCTCGAGCCAGGTGATATGTGGAATTATGATTATTAGAAACCGAATTATGATGATTAATATACCGTTGTCTTCCGATCGTAAAATAATGATATTCTGGAGAATCCTGATTATATCCGGTAAACAACTTATAAGGAATGGTAAAATAAAAACGAAATAACATATGGATGTCTCATACCCGGGGGGAATAAATTATTTTTTGGGAAAGGATATTTATCGTAGGATGATAATTTGAATCGAATCTGAGTCATTAATTTCCACTCTATTCACTTATTTCCGGATAGTTATGACAGATTTCACCTAGCGGATCTTGTGGAAATCTATATCGTTATCAGGTAGAGGGGATTGTTTATGGAAATCCATTCATCTCCCATTTTATCATATTATGGACGTCTAGGAACGATGCATTGTCATTTTCTCGCTCATGGGGTAACTTCTCCAATAATGAATCAAGAATATCTTTTATTTATTAAACTTAAAATCGATCATTCCTATTATTTATTATTAATAACTTTAATTTCCTACCAAGAAGAGACAGAAGGCACATAAATGTCGTTAATATTGCACTTCAAAATAAACGTTAATTAATGTTTTTTTGTATAAAAAAAAATCTATAATAAATTCATCGTGATTTTTTAAAAAAATATGTTTTATTTTTGATAAAGGTTAAAACCTATTAAAAAAAAATGATAATAATCTATTAAAAAAAATGATAATAATTATTTAAAAACACCATTAATCGTTTTTAAAAAAATTTTATATAATTTATTCTGTGCTTTTATCGCATATTATATAGGCTTAGGTAGTTGTTGTTAAAACGGCTCGTTTTGAGCCTATTTTTAAATACGGCTAACTAAATACTTCATCTAGAAAA